CCCCTCCCTCTCGGTTTTCAAGTCCCGTTTAAAAACTCACTACTATTCAGTAGCTTTCAACACCAGATGATCTGTGTTTTGATCCTGTATGCTCCACACTGGTTTGTCATCATTATCTGCATCGTTTTTATGTCTATATTCTGATTTACCTCATTTTGTATTTTGCTTTGTGTGTTACCTGTTGTTCTGTCTGTACAGCACTTTGGTTGGCCTTGTAGCTGTTTTAAGTGCTTTATAAATAAAGTGGTATGGTATGGTATGGGGGCAGCATGGTGGCGCAACTGGTAGAGCTGCTGCCTCTCAGCGAGCAGGTCCTTGTTTCAAACTCCGGTCCAGGGGCCTTTCTGGGTGGAGTTTGCATGTTCTCTCCGTGCATGCGTGGGTTTTCTCCGGGTGCTCCGGTTTCCTCCCACAGACCAAAAACATGCATGTTAGGCTGATTGGTAACTCTAAATTGTCCCTAGGTGTGAGTGAGAGAGTGAATGGTTGTTTGTCTCGTTTGTCTCTATGTGGCCCTGTGATGGATTTGCGACCCGTCCAGGGTGTACCCCGCCCCTCGCACAGTGATTGCTGGACATGGGCACCAGCGACCCCCGTGACCCAAAATGGAATAAGCGGGTAAAGAAAATGGATGGATGGATGGATGGGTATGGTATGGTAAGACTGCTGGTTCCTCTGGTAAAGAAATACTGGAACAAACCATCATTTTTTCCTCTGCTGTGAATGTAATTAACAAGGTCCTATTTAAATGCAGCCTCACATAACAAACCATTGTCTGCTAGGATGTTTCCATGTTTTTAATGTATCATGTATTTTTTAAAAGTTTTTATAACATTTTTAACTTGTGTTGCTTTTTATGAGCCAGATGTCAAAGACAAATCTCCATTTCATTGAACGCTATGGACAATAAAGTTAAATTGAATTTAATTGAAGCAGAAGGCTGTTTGTCCTGAGCCTGGTTCTTCTGGAGGTAGTTTCCTGTTAAAGGGAGTTTTTTCTTTCCACTGTCTCCTTTGTGCTTGCTCAGGATGGAAGACTGTGATGAAGTGAAGATTCAACACAATTTGCTGCTTCCTCAGATGGAGAACTGTACTAAATGTCTTTTTTAATGTCTGTGAATGTTTCTGCTCAGAGCCAGAGACGACATACGTTGGGAATTGGAGCTACAGAAATAAACTGCACTGAATTGAATACTCCACCATCGTTGCACTGTACTACTGTAAATGCATTCTAATGTTTTTAATTGTTGAACATGTCCGCTGCTTTGACAAACCCAATTCCTGCCAGGGGATCAGGTAATAATGTTTTTAATCCTGTTTTGTTACATGCAGCTGCTGTGTCTCTGCTGACCATCGGTGTGTTTGTAGGAACTTCAACATGGCTGGTTTCTGCAGAGGAAACCTGCTCTGAGCTTCATGCTAGAAGACTTCAGAGCTGTGCTGCAGCGTCTGTCTGTGTTACTGCTAGACACATGATGATGATGAAGGGCAAGATGAAGGTCAGGGCTGTGGGAGGAGATTTGTTGCTGCAACTGCACATGAATCTATTATGGGCTGGTTATGTGATCACACTTCTTCCTAAAGATTCCCTTGTGGTTTCTTATGCAGCTTCGCATCTTAGCTGCAGCCTCTCATTACATTCAGAGATCCTGGTGATGGTTTCAGGTCCAGCAGATCCAGTTGAAAAGTTCTGCTGTAAATCCTGCAATAGTGCACTGAGTATTAAATCCCTGCAGGAATGTTCTGTTCTCAGAAGGAGGATTAAATGCATGGAACCTCCTGCTGTTAGCTCAGGCTAGCTGCTCCCTTTGGTTTCTAATAGGAATGCTAGCAATTCTGAGAAGTCCTCAGCTGGAACAAGAAAAGGTCAGCAGCTGAACTAAAGTCAGACTAGAACAGAATTCCTGTCAGAACACATTTTCATGAATGAAACAGTTTATATCGTCATGTTTCTATCTGTTGCCATTCCTGCAGCTCTTCATCTTCAGGACTATCAAGGTGGACTCAATGAACTTCACTCAGTGTGCGTCTCATGGCAGCTTCCGTCATCGCTGGCAGGAAACCGTTTACAACATGTTTCACTTCATCACGTTGTACGTCATCCCTCTGCTGATGATGAGCTGCTGTTACAGCCGCATCCTACTGCATATTAACCATCAGCAGATGCAAGACAAAGGTTGCTCACCTGAAGTGTACATGTAACACACCTGTAATACAGCTGTAACACACCAACTTCTCTGAGACCTTTATTTTCTAAACATGACCTCCCTAGTGGTTTTCAACCCCAAACTATATTACAGTAAAAACTGGTTCATCCCAAAGATCTGGTCCCCTGTCACAAACAGAGTGATATTGTGTATGCCCCTCCCTCTCAGTGTGTTGGTGCTGATGTAGCTCCTCCCTCTGTATGTTAGCGCTGATGTAGCACCTCCCTCTGTGTGTTTGTGATGGTGTAGCTCCTCCCTCTGTATGTTAGTGCTGATGTAGCTACTCCCTCTTAGTGTGTTAGTGCTGATGTAACTCCTCCCTCTGTGTGTTAGTGCTGATGTAGCTCCTCCCTCTGTGTG